AAGCTGGCACCTGTAATGAGAGGCAAAGCAGAGAATGGGCTGAGCAAGGCCGGGGGGAGGAAGAACATAACCCTCCTACCCTCCTGTGTCCCCCTCCTCTCCCCTCCTGCAGGGCTGCACTCAGTTCTGAGAGGAGCACCCAAGCTCTCAGCCTGGAATGCAGGCCCAGGGGAGTACCACATCCCCAGCTACCCCTGAAGCAAATGAAAAAATAGAGAGAGGAAATGTGCTTGTGATCCTGTCACTGGGATATGCAAATAAAATATATAGGATAGGCCTATCTGCCTAATATTCCTGCCAATGCATTCTTTGGGTGTGATTAAAATGAGCAATAAATTCCTCGTGAGTCTCGGTGCAGTGAGGATTGGGAGTGGAGATGCAGGCTGGCACAAGCACGTTCCCCTCAGCTGAATATTCATCATGGGAGAGCTCCCCATATTTTTGTTTTATCTGCTATCATGTCAACAGAGATATATTTCTACTTCTCCTTCATCTCTTAGTTAAGACATGAAAATGGTCCTGGCTTTAAGAATTAAACTCTCCATCTATTGAAATCCTTCAAAGTGAGACTACAGGCTACCTCCTCTTTGAGGCTTGCCCTGCTCTCTCTCTGACAGGAGGTGATCCACGCTTTCTTGGATACTCCACCAACTCTGAGAACCCTCCTAAGACAAATCGGTCTGCAGGTATCAGAGCTTAGAGTGCCTGTCTCTCCCCCAGCCAGATGGCAAACTCAGGGACAGGGGCTGGGCCTTATCACCTCTGCATATTCTCAGGGGACCTAAGGAGGCTTCGGCGCAGAGGATACTGAGAGAACTGAGGGACAGCCAACAGTGAGGGACACATCATTCAGACCACTTAAGGTGACAGAGATTCTAGGGTAAATGACGTATTTTAAAGGGCAGAATTAAATAAAAAATTAGGCTTATGGATAATTTTAAATGAAGAAATCACCAATAATATTAAGTGAATAAAAACAAATTCCAAATATAGAATAGGATCTTTAGGGCCAAGCAGGAAACAAAAGTGTCTGATTGATAATCAAGGACATAATACAAGAGGGAATGGGGGGCCCTGGGCTAGAGAGTACATACTCCCAATCCCCAAGCATTAAATTCAAATTTTTGGAAAATGCTGGATGACTATATAAAATGTGGCTGCCAGTTTGACACTCCTGGTATATATGGTAGGCAGCCAACAGCATTTTTTTTTAAAAGGCCATCTATGTAACTATACATAGACACGATCCAGGGAAGGCTAATACAGTGTCATAAGAGGAACCCTCTCATTTTATTCCTAATAGTCACTTATAACAACTTGGTTTTCTGTAAATTATCTGCTTGCTTTCCTACAGCTTCAGTTTTCCCATCTGTGAAACAGGGGTAAGAGGAACCCTCTCATTTTATTCCTAATAGTCACTTATAACAACTTGGTTTTCTGTAAATTATCTGCTTGCTTTCCTGCAGCTTCAGTTTTCCCATCTGTGAAACAGGGGTAATAAGAACTACTTCAAAGGCCACAGGATTAGGAAAAATATATATTTGAGCACCTATCACAGTACCTAGATGCATTTGATAAAACAGTATCTACTATTGTTATAAATAATTAAGACTATTAATAGTGGTTATGTCTGGTGGGAGGGCTAGAGTGCTTTGAATTAAATTCAGCTCAGTTGTCATCTCTTCCAGGAAGCCTTCCTTGATAAGTCATACCATCAGTGGTGTCATGGCTTACTTGCCTGTCTCCCTATCAAACTGTAGCTCCCTGAGTGTTTTACTCATCAGTCTTCTTCCCATCTAGCCCAGAGCCTGTCACGGAGATGTCATTTATAAATATGTACTATATTATTTAATTCTCTTCATTTTACTTTCTTTATATCTCTAAAACTTCTATAATGAGACATATGACTTTAATACAAGTTTTCTATGAGCATAATTTGACTACGAGTGGTAGATGTAGGTGGAGGAGGCTAGGCTGGGTGGCAGGGGGATGCTGGGTGGACAGAAGGGGAGCCAGATAAGATCAGAGTGGCAGCAACCCATGTCTAGACAAAGAGCCAGGAGATGAGGCCCAGGCTGGAGCTTCAAAAGCCTCCAGGCCTGAGTCATTATGTTACAGATGGAGGGCCTGAACTCAGAGACAGCTGCTTCTTACTTACTCACAGTTTTGAAGAGGTAGCTTTGTGCAGTTTGGAGGAATAAAGCAGAACAGAATGAATGCGTGACCAAGTAGATGCTGAACAACTGAGAGAAAGCCGATGCTGCTGACATCCAGGGAGAGCTGAGGGGTGCTTCACATGGGCAGAATCTTATGGGACAGCAGAGCAATTAGATGGAGATACTCAGAGGGCACATTCAGGATGGAGAGTCCAGACTGGATGACTGGATAAAGGGATCAAGTGCACAGAGGTGACAACAGATGAAATGGACTTCCAGCTGAGAGCTATGGAATCCCTGGACTGGCTCCAGGTGGTCTTCTTAGCCTCTAAGGCAGACCCTCCATGGTGGGACAGCTGTGTTAGGGGCTCTTCCCTGAAGCTGCTGCCCAATAAGCCTATCGACTCTGGTTTTGCCATGGACTAAATCTCATTCCCTCTCACTCACAGCTGTTCCTGTGCTCCTCCTCTTCTGGCCAGATGCCCCTATGACCATCAGCTTTTTCTCATGGCACAGTACCTCTTGCCACCCTTCTGCCCTTCTTTATACAGATTCTAAGAGGGCAGTGTCTACTTAGAATACGGTGTCTCATGCTCCAGGAGGGTCTGACCAGCACAGGGGATTGCAACCAACTGCCATTTGTTCACTCTGGACATTAGCCCTGTAATAATGTGGCCAACATCAAGCCACTTCCCTTGGGCAGCCAAATTTTGTTAAGGGTTCCTCAGTAAGCCTAACCCCTCCATCAGCGCTGGCACTAATGGGCCTGTTCTCTTGCTTCAATAGCCAGACCAGTGCCTGCTCTATGTTACACAAGCTCAAAAACCACAGGTACTCTTGGTCAAGTCCAGGGCTGGTCTCTCAGGGGACAGCAAATGGGCTAGAGAGGGGAGCTGATGATGAGAGTGCAGTCCCTAAAGTTATGTGCAACAGTGCTGAGGGATTTCCTTAAGGCTCTTGGGGAAGTTGACCCAATCTCCTGGCCTGTTCCTAGGAGAGAAAAATCTGAACAAAAGGAGAGAAGCACTTGCCTTCTGAAATTTAGCAGTTCTGTCTGGTCACAAGGGCCCCTGGGGATGGATTGTGAAAAGCTAGTCACCCTTCCTAATTCCTTCCCTTCTCTAGAAGAAATTACTGCAAGACAGTTACTAAAAATACCAGGAAGGCAAAATCTGTATGGTTCATGTTGATTACCAAATATTTCCAGCTCTCCCATTCTAGGCACATGGTAGGATTACTTTTCTTGGCTCCCTTATGATTGGTTTGAAACATGGGATTCATTCTGGCTAATGAATAGTGAGTGGAAGGAAGGGCTCTTCCTTCTAGGCTGAGCATTTTACTGTAGCTGTAAGACCCTTCAGAGCATCCTTTTCCCTCTGGCAAGCAACCAGCAACATTCCCATGGGTGGCTGCTCTGCCTGCTGGGATGGCTAAGTGCCTAGGATGAACAGAGCCTGCCCCTCATCCCTAACCACAAGGAACATGCAACATAAGGCAAAAACAAATCTTGTTTTGTTTTAAACCACTGAAATTTGGGGTTGTTACAATAGCAGCATCTAGTTTATACTGACTGATCCACAGACAATCATTTGTTGCCTAGAACCTTAGAAGCCATTTAGTACAATGTTTTCACATCTCAGAAGACCGGGCTTTAATGAGGGGAAGTGCTAGCCCAAGGTCACATGGGCAGTGAGTGGTGAAGCTAAGATTAGAATCCACATCTCTTCAGTCTCAGTCCAGTGAGCTAAGTGCTTGGACTCAGGACAGAGAATATTTGCCACTAGGTGGGACCTGCCACACTGAATCATCTCGAGGTACTTCAGCCACTTTGTGGTTAAGAGACTCCACGATGCTGGAAAGGACATAAGAGCGAAAGTCAAAAACCAGGTCTTCCAGTCCCTGTCCTGCCACCGAACCTACCACATGACCTTGTAGTCAAGCTTATTATGTTCAGTTTTGATGCTAATTCACTCTGGGACCAAAGGCAAGCCACATCACAGGCCTGGGCTCCAGTTTCTCCAGGAGTAAAATAAGTCAGTTGATTTAGGTTTCAGAGATTGAAACTTGTGCCAACAGCAGAGTCCACTCAGAGGCTGCCCCAGGAGGGAAGGGCAGGCCATGTGGGCAGTGCTCTAGTCCATCTTTCTCCTTCAACTCAAACAACTCAATTTTCTTCTGATTTATTGGTTTGTGCTTTTGTAAGATTTCCCATTACTGGACTTGATTTCTAAGGTCCCTGCCAGCTCTGAGATTTGTGATTCTAGTTCTTGGATTCTGTCCAGTAGTTCCTGAGTTACAGCTCTATGGCTGGGAGAGGTGGAAGACTTAGCCCTGTTCTCAGGGAGTTCAAAAGTTTGGTTGAGAAGACAGAATTAGAATGGAGGATTTTTTGGCTCAGATTCTATTTTGGCTCAGATTCTATACCAGGCTCTCTGGAGTGTGTGTGGAGGGGAAAGGTGAAGGAATAGTTCTAGAAAGAGTGATGACAGGAAAAGATGGTTTGTTGAGGCTTTAGAACATGAGGCCTAGGAAAAATGACTATAATCTTTACATGGGCTAAAGATTTTGTCTGGCTAGTACCCCCTCCTCTGAAAAGGACCTATCACTTCATAAATCACATTTAAAGGTAATGCTCAGAAGCCAGAAGTGGCCGAGGCTGCTCCTTGGTCATGACAGGGGCAGCTTCCTATTCTTGATGAGACTGTGGGCTGGATTTGTATTTAAACAGATAATAATCACCTAAGGAGAAGTGGCCTTTGGTGTAAAGCCTGACATAATTGAATGACTGAAAGATTAAATGATGCATGGAGTGTCCATAGGCCTCTTCCCTTCCCTGATACTTACCTTGGCTTCAGAAGTCCTCAGAAGTTTCATCACTTCCCCTTCTCGGGCATAATCCAAGGGTGTGTGTCCCATTTCATTCCGCTGCAGGGGGTTGGCTCCTGGCAAGAGAAGAAGGATAAATGGTCAGAGGCTCTATGAGTGATCAGGGGGACCTCAGCCTTCCCTTGGAGGTGGCTTGGGGCTCTGATTTCTGTTGGGAATGTCCATGGACAGTCACAAATGATGGGAAAAACATGGTACTGGGGCTCCTACAAGTCCATGCACACACGTTCAATAACATATTACACATATACAAATACACACCGCTGAACATGCTAACAAAATATGCCAAATACACAGGTTAATATACCCCAGCACAAATACATGTAAACACACAATTTCATACATGCATTCGTTAATATCCACATTTTCCAATGTATCAGCATACAGATAAACATTCATTCATGAAGCTATATAAAGGGTTCCTTTCTAAGGCAGAGAATATCCCAAATAACAATTAAATGGTTCCCCTTCTTTCTGTTTTCTGCTCCTCTCCTTTTATGCTCTCTTATCTCTGGGCATTTCCTGTCTGTCTGAGTCAGCTGAGTCCCCTGGAAGGACAGGGGCACCATCAGCAACCTGGCTATGCCACTCTAGCTGTCAGTGAGTGAGTGTGTGTGTGTGTCTGGACATTTCTTCCAATCATTAATTCCTGTGACTTAAGGACAAAGACTGAGTATGACAAGAAGAAGGGGTTAGCTCGGGGCCATGTATCTACCTTCTCTCTAAGTAATGACAGGTGACAAGCCTGTATAAACTGTCTACTTTGTGCCAGCCTTGCCAGTAATGGAGGAAAGGTCATTCTGACTCTGTGCTATCACAGCCTTCCCAAAGCCCAGGTTTAAGCACCTCACTCTCTTCAAAAACCATCCATTCCATTCAATTAGGCAGACACTGAATGAATGGGGCCTGAGGACACAGAAGCATCACATCTGGCCCTGCCCTAACGGTACTCCTCTCAAGTCAGGAAGACAGAAACATAATTAGAAAACCGCTTTGTACACAGCAGATGCTCAATAAATGTGTGTTACATGGAACATTAAGGTAATAATTATCTAGTACTTCTTTAGCTTCTTTCTCGCTCAGGAAGTGTTGTCTGAAGTAAAGATGGTTAAGACTCAGACCCTGCCACAGGATACAATGGACTGGCTGGGGATCCAATTAGCACAGAGCATGGCTCAGGTGGGTGTCCAACCACTGTTGATGGATGGTAAAAACCAGTGTTTCTTAATCCAGTATGTGAAAACATTTATATAATGATACAGAAGTATTCCTATTGCAAGTCTCTACTTAAAAAAAGAAATGATCCTAGCTACCTGGGAGGCTGAGGCATGAGAACTGCCTGATCCCAGGAGGCAGAGGTTGTAGTGAGCAGAGATCACACCACTGCACTCCAGCCTGGGCAACAGAGAGAGAGAGAACTTGTCTAATAAACAAACAAACAAACAAAGTATACAATTCAGAGCAGCCGTGGTGGCTCAAGCCTGTAATCCCAGCACTTTGGGAGGCCAAGGCGGGCAGATCATGTAGGTCAAGAGATGGAGACCATCCTGGCCAACATAAACCCCACCTCTACTAAAAATACAAAAATTAGCTGGGCATGGTGGCGCATGTCTGTAGTGCCAGCTACTTGGGAGGCAGAGGCAGGAGAATCGCTTGAACCCAGGAGGTGAAGGTTGCAGTGAGCTGAGATCATGCCACTTCACTCCAGCCTGGCAACAGAGCGAGATTCCATCTTAAAAAATAAAAAAGTATACAATTCAGTGGTTTAAAATATAACATTCTTGAACACTTTCACCCCCCTCCAAAAGAAATCTCCTACCCATTATCAGACACTCCCCATACCCCCCAGCCCCAGCAACCATTAGTTTACTTTCTGTCTGTGGATTTGCCTATTCTGGATACTTCATATGAATAGAGTCATATGATATGAGGCCTTTTAGATCTGACTTCTTCAAGCTTACCAGAATGTTTTCAAGGTTCATTCAACATGGCTGAATAATACTCCATTCTGTGGACATACTACATTTTATTTATCTATCAGGTGATGATGGACATTTAAGCTATTTCCTCTTTGGCTATTATATAAACAGTGCAATGAACATACACATACAAGTCTTTGTGTAGATATGTTTTCATGTCTCCTGGGCAGATCATTGGAGTCACGATGTAATAACAGTAACACTGGTATTTATTGAGCACTTACTTTGTGCCAGGCACTGTGCTTGGTACTTTCCATACATTTTATCATTTAATCCTCGAAACTACCCTGAGGGATAGGAATTAAAATCCCCAAGCTATAGGTTCAGAAAAGCGAAATAACTAGCCTGAGGTCACAAAGCTAGCTTTACTTAATTGAACTATGAGTGAAAACAACCCCCAGGTTTTCCTAACTCAAATTCTCTACTCTCACGAGGGTGGCACAATATACCCCCGCTGAAAAAGTTTTCAGTTGGCCTTTGCTTTCAGGACAAAGTGCAACCTCCCTAGGAAGGAGTCTGTCTGTGGTCTTCCTAACTACTGGGCAAGTCCTCAGAAGCTCAGTCGGAGCCTCATCCTTTCTTTCAATTCTGTTGGCACTTACTGGGCACTGTTTATCTGCAAGCCTCTGTGTGCAGGATGATGGGCGATTGGCAGAGCCAATGAATAGTTTCCTTCTTTATATTCCTTGACTGTTCTGTAGCAACTCATACCTTGGCCACTCTCTCCTTTGACTTCTATAAAACCACTTTTCAGGTTTTCTTCCCATCCTTGTAACCATTTATTTTCTCTTTTGCAGACTCTTCGTCTTGTCTTTAAGATTATTAGGTGCTACCTAGAGTTCGAGTCCACCTCTCCAAGAGCTCACGGGGACAAGCGATCACAGGCTGAGTGTCATCAGTGTGCTGAAGGAGGGACAGGCAGCACTGGGAGGCTCAGGAAGGAACAAAGTGCTCAGAGACTTGTTCGCCTGGCCCAGCCTTCCTGGCCCAGCCCCACTGAGCTGCTTTCTCTGGAGCAAGGGCTGAGGGGCCAGTGGCAGAGGGGATCCTCCCCTTCCCCCAGAGCTAAACCAGTGGAGGCAGAAAGGGAGATACAATGAAGCAGTGGAAAGGTCTCTCCTTTCGTAGCCTCAAGGGGAGCTCTGTCACTAGATATGAGCTGCAGTAGAAGGGAGGATTAGGGAGAGACCTCTGGAAGGGGAAGAAGGGCAAAGAGAAGAGCAAAAAAATGGATAGGAAGAAAGAAATGGGAGAGAGAAGAGGAGGGGGAAGAGGAGAGAAGGTGACAGAAAGACAGTAGAACGTACGGAGAGTGAGATCAGCCTCTTCAAACAAGTGCTGTCAGTGATCTATATTTGCTTACAGAATGAAAAATGTGTGCCACAAACATTGGCCACTGAGTAATTTCTAGTAGGAGTCATGTCACTTCTCATAAAGGATGGGATAGGGACAGGTAGGACATCTCTGCATCTGGGCCAGCCAGCACAGGGGCTCCTTTTAAAGCAATACTGGGCCTGTCTCCAGCCCAGGAGGCTCTCAGGTCAGGCTCCACCTGATCACTCATGGGGAATGCTCCCCAAGGTCCTGGAGCCTCAGGGCAGCACATCTGCCCCCACTTCAAGAAGGCTGAGGCAGGGGTACCATGGATAGTGTCCATCTAATATTAGTACCCCAGCCCTGCACCCTCGCTCTGACTTGACTAATTGCTGTAATAATTGATAGAACCTGACTTCTACTACTGATCGATTTCACCTCCACGACCAACGGCCACAAACCATTACACTCCAATAAATAACCACGTTGGGCCTCACCCGCCTGCCCTCTCCAGGGGCATCAGGATGGCCCATGCCCTGGCCTGACCTCCCCTTGCCTCCCACCCAGGGCCCCTTCGGGCCGAGCAGCTGGTCTAGAGGGCCAGGCCTCTGGGAGCAAGTGAAAGGGCTGGATGGAGGTGGGGAGTGCTAATCGCAGGCCATCCGTCACCTCCCACTGGCTGTCTGGGGCTGGGGCAAACACCTGGAGCACCCCAGGCAATGTGGTACAGAACCCCCCCCCCCTCCTTCTCCAGATTAGTGTGTCCCAGCTTATAATATTTGATAAATAGCAGACTGGCTTCCTGGCAGTACTGCTGCGGCTGTGCCTGCCTGCTACAGCTGTGGAAGGTCACTCATTGGGGAAATATGTTTCTGTCAGTGGTATTGAAAAAAGTTTAGTGGAGTGACAGGCCTCAATTTTTCAAATTTTATTAACTCCATCCTCTTAACCATTTGTCTTGAATTCCTTCAGATTCTGGGGGATCTGTCAATAGGGACTGGGCCAGGAAAGTAGTGTGGGGGGTGGGTGGTCATGGGGCTGATTCTGGTGGGTGCCACTGTGGCTGGTTTGGACCTCATCACCCAGGGCAAGGTAAAGCAGTTGCAATGGCGTTGGTGGGAGTGAAGGCCTGGCTCACTGGTGCTGAGGGAGCCCACTTCTCTTCTCTGGTTCAGCTCCTGCCTTTGATTTGACATAATTATTGACTCTCCAAGTGGAAAAATGGTGAGTTCTTCTAATTTCCTAAGAAGATACTCCCTTCTACTACATCTCAAAGAGGTGGTCACTCTGGCTTCTCTGAATGTCCCCAGTACCCAGCCCCAAGCTCATGGCTCTCCCAGGGGTGTCCCCCATTTAACTGAGGGCAGATTTTTTTGTATATGAGCCCCAGATTCGCTACCCACTACTATCTTGGTTCTGAAAACACCTGTTTATCTTTTAAGACTAAGTCCAGACTTTTCCTCCAGGAAGCCTTCCTTGTTTCCCTTCCACCCCAGGTTGAGTACCATCCTTTCAGCTCCCATAGGCCCTACTGCTTCCAGCTTACTGCATTGGCCATCCTGTATTAAAGTCTGTCTCATCTAAGACTGAGAGTTCTTAAAAGTCAGACACTATGTTTGATATACTGCTATATATGCTTGCATGGGATGGGAGCTCAATAATATTTGCCAGATGACTGAACTGTATTCTCTATTGGTGCTATCTTCTGAGGCCACACAGAACATGACTGTTCTTTCTGCCCCAGGAGAACCTTTCTGATAGCA